GGAATCCCTGTGCACCCATTGGTCTGGGATGGCATAGGGATTCCTATGGATTGTTATCCATGGGGTTCTCTTAATGGATGATAGCAATACAGCTGTACTTCATACTGGTACTGCTTGGAAAGAATCGAGATTCCAAGACATGGTGCTGACAATAACCCTATGGTAAGCAGCCAGCAAGGCGATTTTTTCATGTTGCAATGCAACATACTGCAACCAAATATGATGTGATGATGGCAAACCCCAAGAAAGATAATGGAGATTACATGATATTACAATATGGAGGTTTCCTAAAATAGGGGTACCCCCAAATCATCCATTTTAGATGGAGATTTTCCATGAAATAAACCATCCAGCGGTAAAGGGGTATCCCCATGACTGTAGAAAACTCCATATAATCTCCTACAGTCATCAATCAGCAGGGGTCTAGAACATTCCTCAAAAAATGGAGCCACAAATAAAATCTGCCAATCGCCAACACCTCATGGAGCACAATCCATCAACAGAATTCTCGTGACTTAGAATTGCACAAAGGCATGTTGGCTGGGTAAACTATAACAATGTATTCACAAGTATTCACTAACCTAAAATAGGGCTATTTTGGGATAGTTACCCCTATCCCCATCATCACTTGAGTGTTGGCATCATTTAAGGGACATCGTTTTTCGGCCTCGTTGATGCGGGATCGAAAAAAGGGGCCATTGAAAAAAGGGACCATTTTCGCTTGACTAGTGACAAGATGTGCCCAGTGGCCCTGAAAATGGGATAGCCCTAGATTCGAAGGTGTATCATGGTTTATCACTATGGTGCCGGGTAAGTCCTGCCTACATAGAAGCCACCATCAGCCCCACAGCACAGCATCGAATGGTTCCCATCCCGTCCCCCTAACAGTAACATACAATAACCCTCCCGAAACCCATTTTTAGTAGGGGATTTACATACTTGGAACCATTTAGGTGATGTTTAATCTTAGGGTCTAGATGTCATCGACGGGATTATCATCTTCCGCATGAAAACCGCTATAAAATGCTATAACATGCTATAAATTGGTAGTAAATTGGTAGTAAAATGCTATAAATTGGTATAAAATGCTATAAATTGGTCTAAAATTCCGTATGAATCCGTACAGATCAGAAAGATCCCAACCTGATCATCAGCTACTCTGCTCGGTGGCTGGAAGGTCTCCTGCCGGCGGAAACTGCTCAGCAGCTCACACCCCGGCTGGATGTAGGATGGATGGATGAACTGATGGAAGGATAAATGGCTATGGTATGATGACAACGACGACAACTATATATGTGTGTTTATTGATTATATTAATTCTCCCACACCAAATCTTAAATTAAGACAAGCTGTGTACTTCAAGGGCTTTTCTTTAGTTGCCAGTGGGCAACTCCGCGCCAGCTTGGAATCTCACCATGAAGCAGATGGATCGATCAAAGTCTACTGAGTCCTACTAACAATTAGGAACTTAAGTGACTCAGTGCGACCTACGGCACCTAAACAAGAAAATCATAGAAAATCATGATTGAGTTGATCTACTGTACTGTTTACTCATCATGATTTTCTTGCGACCTCCGTCGATCGAAAAGCAGCACCTGAGAGTAAGAGTCATGAGTCTGCAGATGTCCGCAGAGTCCTCAACATCTTCATCGTCATCGTCCTTACAACACACACGTTGAGATTATAGCATTTTTCAAAGTGAGGGAAGTGAGTCAGTGGTTGCAGATACGGAAAAAAAAAAACTACCGATTGGAGCTAAATAGCTCCTCCGTAGCAAAGCCATAGAGAAGAATCACACATTCAACAAGATCAACAGCTGCGTGTCTGAGATTTCCATAGATTTCCATACCCTCTGGATAATTTTAATATTAATTCAACCTGAAATAAAGCTATATTTCGACTATATTCCCCTTACTAACCATCATTCATCGTTCCAGGTCGCAGTGAGGTCCTTAAAAATTTACCCAGATACCCTGTCCTAGACCTCCCTGGAATTCCCTGGAAAATCTGTACGTCCTGTGGCTCTTCATCTCCCCGTGCTCTGCTCTGTTCATGCGCAGCAACCTGACGGCTGTGGTTTCAGTCAGCGGCTATGGATGCGGAAAGTCGGCTGAACCACTGGGGACATGATGAACCATGATGAAGCAGGAGATTTGGAGATCATTTCACTATTCGAACCTATTGATCATACATATTCTACCATCTGGTTATGACTAACATAGCCATGGAAAATCCCAGAAATCAATGGAGGTTTTAAGGAAGAAAGCATTGATAAATGGGCCACTTTCCATGGCTATGTTAAATAACCAGAGGGTAACTATTTTCAGGACGAGACCAGGTATCAAAAAATATCAACAACATGGACCAATCAAGCAGAGTTGGGACTTCCGGCACGTCGTCTTCATGGTGAACCCGCAACCAGGATCTATGCCATGGCCTCTCAGACGTCCTAACAGCACTAATCTGTGCAGCATCTGCTGAGGTTTCTACAAGAAGAGCATCATCTTTGAAGCTTGGCACCTTGGGCTGGAGAGAATACTACAAGCTGTCTTGCGGCCTCTCTATGCTCCGAAAATAAACATGAAGAAGAAGAAGAAGAAGAAGTGTGCCAAGACCCCAAAGAGCACTCTTCATGTGATTCAGACATGTTCAGATATGTCGTTGCCACAACGGATGCCACTTACTCCAGGCATGCAAGAAACGATTCAAACGATCCCCGCATCAAAAATAACACACCCTTTGACACCTGAAGATCGCTAGAAGCCTCGCGCTCGTCCTTCAGTGCCTGGTGAGGACGCGCGCTGTCACTGTCAATTTGCTTCTTCATGCTGAGACAATTCAAACACTGGTAAACATGTAGGTAAACAGAGGTAAACCCTGTGTCACAAACCCTCAGTTACCGGATGGTTTTTTTGCGGATTGGACCAGCTCCTGCAAAAATTGAGGATGAATTCTTATTGGATCACATTATATGGGTATGTCTGAAAATGGGGTATACCCCCAATTATAGCCATTTAGTAGGGATAATGATCATTAACCATTGGGTGTAGGGGTACACTATTTTCAGACAAACCCATATTACAAGGAATGCTAGCAGTCCAGTCGAGGATTTGCCCCTTCGCGGCGCACTTCGCGGCGCACCTCTTGAAAAATGGGCCACTCCTGGACCTCGATGTTGAGCCGCTTCCGGAAGAACTCCACAATCTCAGTGGTTTGAAGCGATTGACATCGATTGACCCAAAGCTGCCTTTTTTAGGGAGCAATGAAGAACTGGTGATCTGGAAGTGAATAAACCATCAGTTGTTCCAAATCGTTTCGCAATGAACAACATTGAACAACCAGATATGCAAAGTTTATTCTGATTCTATTTGTGTAGGGTTGTCTAAATGACACTTCGCACCGGGGGAAAAACTCTGAACGACCTGAAGAGCTGCGGGAAGCTAGAAACATCCGTCTTTATCATCTCAGGTACAATGTGGGGCCCCCGTTTGATAGCTAAGTTGGTGAACAAAACTCCAATAACTAATGGTGTATGATACATATAACTATATAACTACGTATCTGGGTTAGCATTTCAGTGGCTCCGAAAAATATTAAGGGATCTGGCTAAAATTTGCAATGTTTCATGGAAGTTGTCGACACCTCATCGCAATTTCATCTTAATCCCAGATTAGTGGACATGTCCCAGCATCAATGACGCACAACTAAGGCTCCGTGCAGCAGTCAGTTTTTGTGCTGAGAACTTGCCCAGTAGCAGGATCCAAGGTTATCAGCTACTAGTGAGAATGTGCAGGAGCAAGTCCAAGGGAGCAAACTGATGATGATCAGCATTTAAGTGCTAACAGACTACTTTCTTTAACCCTATCAGTTTTGCTCACCTGACACCGTGCCTTACACGCTCATGCTCTTTCTAGATGAGCGCATCAATTTCTAGGCTTTGACGGGACAAAATCCAAGCTTTGCATCAACAGCATGCGTTCGCGGGGCTGAAAATCATACGACTTCGGTAAAATAGCAATCTAAAAACTCTGCAAGGTGCACGCTTCAGGAAAGCTTCTGCTCAGAGCAAGGAGTTTGCATCAAGGACTGCTTGGATTAGCTAGACACGAGTGTGGCTTCCGAATCAAGATATGTGAGGCGAATTGAGGCGATGTCATAAAATCAAAAACACTGGACACTATTGAAGATCAACATAATAATGAAAAACAATCATGCCTCATCTTGATTCCGGATCTCCGCGTGTCAACCTTTTAACGTCGTCATGATCCTCTTGCCTACTACTTTGGGTGATCATGCTTGTCACCAAACATTCAAAAGGAAAAATCTGTGAGCAAGGATATTTTTTTGAAGTTTGTGGAATCTCTTGGTGCATGCTGTCTAATGAATTTGCCAAACTCTTCGCTCACTCACCCCTTCAGCAGCCACAGGAGCCGCAGGAGCCGCAGGAGCCACAGCAGCCGCAGGAGCCGCAGGAGCCACAGCAGCAGTACCACTAGTAGCTGTGGGAGACGCAGCCAATGATGCACCAGCACTCAAACCCTTCAACGTCTTTAGCTAACCTTTCATTGTGCAATCGTGGCATCAAATGACTAGGAAAGCTGGCAGCATGCCACCGAAGGGTGGTTTAATACTAATATTATTTTAGTAATAATTAATGTGGTCTTCACAAAGAAGCACCTCAAAATGCTCCATCGACACGCAAAGGTGATGCAAAGTTGGCAATGCAGGTTAAGCCTCAGCATGAAGCTCGTTGCCATGGGCTCGGAAACAATGAGCAAGTGTTGGCACATGGAATGCTGAGATGCTTTCACTGGTAGCACAGCAATCCCAACAAAGTGAATTACTTGGCTATACCTGGCTGACATTTTGTGCAAGCGCCATCACCATTGACATGTCCAAAACCTATCTCAACAAACTGGCTCAAAGCAAAATCGGCTCTCTGCAAATGTAAGGCCTGTGAGCCGTTGAGTGCCGCTGAGCCGTGTAACCGCAAAAGCGGCTCACTCACCGGGGCTGTCTGGTTCCATTGGGGCTTCTTCAGGGTTGTCCTTGGGAGCCAAGTTTTCCAGGACATCTGGGAAAAACTTCTTCACGTCTCCTGCCAAAGCTTCATTGAAAAGAGTTGATCCCTCCAAGGTAATTAGCCCGCAGGCGGCTCTGTCCGCAATGGCCTGGAGCCAGTGCTGGTGTTCCTTGTTCAAGCACAGGCCGTGGTAGACAACGCCTCTGGTGAGGCTGGCTTCCATGAATGCGCCGGAGCCGGCTGTCACATCGAAAACTGCGGTCACCTTGTACTCGTCAAGGATTGCATTGAAAAAGCTGATGGGCTTGGACTCTTGCCAAAAGAGTGGCACTGCATTGTCCCCAAAGCGATCTGTCCAGTCCTCCGGAGGAGCCGCAGAAGCCGCAGAGCCGAGGACCTGTGCTTTTTCAGTCAATGACATCAGGGGAAGTTCATAGGAGGACCGAAACTCCACTCCACTATAGCTGCCTTGAAAAGTCGTGGCTTCTCCACAGGACGTGAAATTTTCACGCTTGGATGTCTTCACCCGCACCCGTTGTGTTGGGAAGCGAACTGCCGCTGTTTCGATTTTGCGAGCACCCAAAGGGATCCTTCGCATGCGGCCAGCGCGCGCAATGCATCCCCCTGAGTAGACCAAGTGCATTTCCTCTGACTGTGGCTGAGCGAGCACCGCCTCTTCCTTGCAAGTTTCAGGTGATGCAATTGAAAGCTGTATGTGCGAAGAATATGTTCTTGATGGCTTCGGAAATCAGCAACGTTACTGAGCCCGTATTTTACCATGGAAGCACATCCCTTGCGCAAGACTGCGCTCCTCACATCCGCATCTTCATCATGATCGGAAAAAGAACGAAGGAGGGAGGGAGGGAGGGAGGGAGAGAGAGAGAGAGAGAGAGAGCGCGCAATAATAGCAACCATACCACCATCAGCAAATAACCTCGTTATCAGCAGCGGCATCAGCATTAAAAGCATCAACATGATCATCGACATCAGAATCCTCAGCAACCTCACACCTTTGTTTTTACTCTGAAGAACTGCAAGATCATGAGCAAGCACAAGAACCAGAACAAACAAACAGGAGCAGCGGCACCACCACCACCACCACCACCACCGCCACCACCACCACCCCACCAGCCCAGCACCAGCACCAGCACCAGCACCAGCACCAGCACCAGCAAGCGAAGCCGTCATGTTCGAGCCACGGAAATAATCCATTACATGTGGCCTGGCCGCTTGGAGCTTCTGGAAGGGGCTTTTGTGTCTCCAAAGGAACTGCTTGTCTCAAGTCCTGAAAATTGCACATTGCTTGAATCAGATAGCAACAAAATATACAAAGTCTGACTTTTCCAGCATGCTGCATGCTGGTAAATCAGCTCTGTTTCTGCTACAGTCCACATGAAAAAAGCAACCTTTCAAGGAGCCTATCTGACCTTTCAGAACCTAGAAGGAGATGAACCATGCATTGAAAGGTTGCAGGAGTGAACCGAAAGGACAAGTTCGCGTGCACAGAAACATAAAGAAACCAGAATCCATTCTGCAGCTGAAGCTGCAATTTCACTGAGCACCTAGCTTGCTTCAACCAAGAGCAGCCGCGATTCTGGGGGCAACCGTAGGCACCTCCTTTGCTTTCCAGTTGCCTCAGGCTTCCAGCGGGTATTACTGGTTTTTGAAGAGTCCATGCGCATGTACACATGCAGCCGCATTGTCCTTCTTAAGGCAAGAAGCAGCGACTGTGAAATGCAAAGTTCCTCAGGACCATCGTGATAAGTGAAAAAATGCCAACTTGGGAACAAAACAGGGCTTCAGGTCACTGTGGGGCTGAGCGTCTTAAGAACGTGGATGCATTTGCAAGCATTCACAACACAAATGTGGCTGGTTAGCTCAGCCTGGAGGTTCAGCATCTTCGGACAGTGCTGGTTCGGCCAAGATTGCAAATGCTCAACCACTTTGTCCAAGACATCGTCAGCTGCAGAGCCACACCATCGGCCAAAGAGTTTGCTATAATTACCGTTCCTGACAAGATTGACGAGACATTGTATGAAGTGCTTTGAAAACAATGTCTCTGATGCTTCTCAATTCTTTTAGCCGTGATTCCAGTGCGAGCTGCATTCCTGGCTGGCTCGCGCCAGACGTCCCAGGGCTTCTAAAGTCTGTAGGAAATGCGTACCCATAAGTTTCGATGCAACACACTGAATCATATCCAACCTTGCCACAGGGCCAATTTGAAAATCAAATGCCCATGCATATACTGGAGACATGTTTTTTTCGCATTGCCAAAATTGGGATAGATGGTAACCACAAAGTACGCTCCTTGACAAGAAGCAAATCTGGATCCACAAGCCATGATTTCTTGCTGTCATTCACAAAAATGGCATCTAGCGTGCCATCCAAAAATTGCCCACAGAGACTCAATGCCCCTGCGAGGCGCAACTGCCCCAGATCACGGTTTGGTCGCAACTTCTTGCCATGCTTGGAAATCACTCTGGAAGGCATGTAAGCCTTTCGTTGTCCTACGCCATTGGTGTCTCGGAAGAATTGGTGGATCACACCGAGCAATGAAATCCTTTGCTGAGAGCATGTCTCAAACACATACTGAGCAAAATCAGGGGACCTAAGGTATGTAACTATGATCACAAGCCCGAGCTGTTCACGACTCTCAAGTCGTTGCACATGTGGCGTCGCCAAGATCTTCACCAAATAGTCCGTCACCTTGTCACCTCCTCAAGGAGAAGACAACTCACAATGCAAGAGGGCTACATGATGCCATGGATACGCTCATGAGCAACACACATGGACACATCACTGGAAGACTCGGGCAAGTTCGGTTTGATAGTCAAAAGCAAACACAAAGGGTAAATATCTAAGCATTCTGAAAGGAATGGCTTTTGTAGTGCCCCCAGACCAAAGCAAGAAATTGCAACTGCTTGCGCTCATGAGAAGCATGCCTGGGCACATGCCCTGCATGCCTACACCTCTGCATCTAAGCCTTGCAATCAAGGCTCTGTGCTTCATCAATGAATGCAAGAAGCTGCCTCTACAGCTGTCTAGAAAGGTAAAAGGGGCCCCTTCCAGTCTCAAAAAAGGGTTGTCGGTGTGCAAGATCTGCAGCATCACGTTGTCAGGATCCTCCCAAGGTGCTTCACTCAGGATCCCTTCAGGAATAGCTAGCCAAGAAAGTTAACTGCAGCACGATAACCTCTTGAACTACCCTTGGTTGACTGCGAGCAACCCTTCTATGCCCAACTTGCTTCTACATGGCAAGGGAAAGGTCCCACAGGGACATTGAAAGGTGGTGCCATGACAAAATCTTATGCTTTGTCAATCAGTATCAGTAAAATATCATAGACCTATGCAAATAATAGAAATGATAGAACATGATGACATCTGGAATTGTCCTTCCCTAGGGGTGGAATTCGACAACCGGCTCGATAAGTCATGTAGGCAGCCAGGGCTGCCTTGGATCCGAGGCCAAGCGCAAAACTACTATAACTTTCTGGCAGTCAGGGCTCGATGCAATGCAGGCCAGTGGCAACAGGAACTACAGCCAGGTCAAAATCCCTGAAAAGAAATTGCACCAATGACAGCAAGTTGGCATCGTTTCCCTTAACGCAGCTCCGAGCAGCCTCAGCGCAAAAAGATTGCAGGATCCAGCGAAACAGCTTCTCAAACAGATTGCGTTTCAACCTCCCTATCCAAAGCCAAGAAACCATCCAAGAAGCTCGCTGGACACGGCCCCACTTGTCGCTAGCTTCCCCAGAGTTTGCAGCCTTTAGCCAAAGCTTGACGGCAGCAGCAGGGTCAACAGGCGTTGGCGCCATGGCCTGGCGCAGGAAGCAACCCTTCAATGTCAGCTGTGCAGCCTTGGAGGCTCGTATTGGCCCATTTTACCTTTCAATGTATAGTCCTCTGAGCTTTCGATGACAAAAGCTTGAAAAATGAGTTTTTACACCTTTCAATTCCATGGCTTGACCTTTGGTGGCAACCACAAACATCAGCCCAATTGGTTCTCGCGAGCCAGGGGCGTATTGCACAGGGGCAACATATGCAATAGGAGCGTATTACATGGTGGAAATCCCTCTTGATTACGGGCCTGGTTCTTAAGAACCGGGAGCGTATTGAGAAGCATGCTAACTTTAGGAATTCAGAAACTGAGGTGATGCGTAATGTGAAGGGCAATCCCCTTTATAATACGCAGCTGGTTCTTAAGAACCAAGGGCGTATTGCAAGGGGGAGCTTTTTTGCTAAGATTCAGAACCCCCAAGTTGAGGCCGGAGCATGACAGTGCTCTTCACTGTCATCCAACCTTCGTCAAGAACATACCTGACACACCCCTTGAGCGGCGAAGCATGCGAATTGATCGCACAAAAGACCAGAAGTCCTTCCATGTCACCACCTTCTTTACAGGCACCTTCTTGCTGGTATGCTTGCAGCCAGTCGCTGGTTTGCCTAAAGTGTGAAGCCGCCAGCGGGAACCACGAGCTTCAGCACATATCTTGAATGCTGAAGCTACCAGCCCACACCTGACACACATCTGAATCTGCAATATATGGATGGGATCTTTTGCTTCAAACCTTTGAAACTTTAAACGTTGTACTCTACGTGACAAGGTCTCAACAAAGTCTTTTGACATTGTGAATTCTGTCCTGGCAACATCGCCAGAAACCTCTAACGAAAGAGCTCGGGTTCTCGCTGCAGCACTGAACCAAAGGAAGGATTCTGGATTCCAGTTTTTCCTGTCCGGCGTCTCCACAGCAGATTTCTCCGCAACCACCTTCCCCAGGCCATAGCAAACCAGCAAAGCTGCAGCCTCAGATGGTCCAATGTCAGATGCTGCAGGGGGGAAACCCCATCGCTTTCCGAGGTTTGGTGGCGGCATGAAAACAGCAGGAGTTCACAATGATTTGCTTTAACTTGAAATTTATTCATTTCCTACACTGCCTACTCCCCAATGTAGAATGTCAATGATAGTTTCAAGCCTACAAACCTACAAACATCTTTGCCAAATCGCCTCTGAGCCTCTGAGCAGCAATCCAACGCAAAGTCTCTGAAAAAAATGTCAACAACATGAAATAAGATTAATTAATTATTGTTATATGCTTCTTCCCAACAGAAGCCTCCTGGCTGTGCATGCCTGCAACAGAGGAGGCGCAGCTGCAGAGCTGCAGTAGGGCCACACCTGACCAGCAACGAAACATGCAAAACAAGGCACATTGCATTGACAGAAGAAGCGGCTAAACCAAACCAACTGCAGCTGCTGTGCAACGTAGTAGTAGAATATAAAATTCCCTGTGCTCTTGGCGCTAAGAATGATGTAATTATCATAATTTGAATGTTTACTTTTGGGCTTGGAAGCAAGGAAATGCGTCTTGATCCCTTTTGGCGGTGTTGAATGGGAAACATTGGGAGGCAGACAACCCATCTCTTTTCCACGCGCTTGCCATGGAAGAAGTCTGTTCAAAATGCTGCCTCATGCAGCTCGTCTGCCAGCAGATCATTGATGTGTCTGCCAGGCATCAGATGGATCCGCAAAGCCGCTGTACCCGCCATCGTTGCCGTCCCCATCATTGCCCCCATCGTCATTGGTATCCCATCCGGCCCATGGATCTGCCTCAGGAGCCGCAGAAGCCTGAGGAGCCGCTTGAGGAGCCGCTTGAGAGGCTGCTTGAGGAGGCGCTTGAGTTGCCATCCCTGGGCCAGGACGCACTGGCCCTTGAAAGGTCGTGGTTAACGGTGCTCCCCAGCCAGTGCCGTGCCCGCTTGGCTTGCCCCAGCCGCCAGAGCCGCCCTTGCTGCCAGAGCCGCCCTTGCTGCCAGAGCCGCCCCAGCCGCTCCAGCCGCTGTTGCCGCTCCAGCCGCTGTTGCCGCTCCAGCCGCTGTTGTTGCCCCAGCCTTTTTTGCCGCTGCCCTTCTGTGCTGCAGCGCGGCTCTGCTCGGCATCTCCGGTCTGCCGCATCGTGTCCACGCAATACTGCTGGGCTCCTCCTTGCAGCAATCCCAAGTGGAGGCCTCCCGGAGCCCTCTGGCATCGAGCAACGCAGATGCTGTAGGGCGCGCCAACAGCATCCAAGCGGCGGATAAGCTGCAAGGCCACCACGTGGCAGGTGCCGCTCTTCTTCACTGCGATAGCCCGTTCCTGAAACGCAACACCATCAAAACCAGACCAATCTGTTGTCAAAAAATGAAATCGATCTTTCATTGAAGCTTGTTTTAGTCCACTGTGCAACCATGAAAAGAATTTGAACATCCCAAAAAAACTGCCTTCCAGATACGCACAGAATAGAAAAGCGTGGGCGCATTCTGCAAGCCCTGGCCCAAAACAAACCAAGAATCCACCTGGTAGCCATCCCACACCAATCCAAAATCATCTGCTCCACCCCCGGCGAACATCACGTCCACTTCCCTTTTCTGTCGGACCATGAAGTCATCGTTGACGAAGTCCCCCTTCACAATCTCAGCCTGAAAAATGGAAAAAATGAGGCGAGCCCTGAGATCTTCATATTCAATTTTGAACCTTGATTGAAATTGTTTTTTGCGCCATTATTGTCATTATTTTAACTATTATTATTAATAATTAATTATTAGTGTTGTTGCCTATAAAATTATGAATGATGATGGCTATTGTCCTTCTGGTCGCGCCCAAACATTGAATCATTGAATCATGTCACCCCAGCCTTCAATGTGAACAGCGGGGTCACGAATTTCTTGTTGGCCGTCTGGATGGGTGCAAAACGCAACACGTAAAAGAAGCCGCTGGATGTGACCCAAATTGACGAGTTGGTCATTGCGACCCCGCCGTCCACAAGCTGCGAAAAGCCAGGCTCCAAAGTGGAAAGGATGCAGAGCATTTCGTTGCGGACGGTCTTGTCGTTGTCAGCTGAGAAGAGCAATCCAGCCCTGTGCATCTCCTGACGATGCGGCTCGGAGGCGGCATGGAAAAAGCTGTTCTTCAGGAGCATCTTGTTGCGAGCCTCCAAGGCGACCGTCTCATCCTCATCCCCTTGAAGAGCAAGCAAGCTGCGAGGCTCAGACCGTCCGACTCCCAAGCCAGACTTGTTCAGGAAAGCCTTGACAAAATGCAAGCAATCCCTGGCGTAGATTGTGATGTGCATGAGTTTGCCATCGTCTCTGTTGAACGGGAGGGCCCACCCAGCCCAGCCGTCTGCCTGCAAGATGGCAAAACAAAACATCCAGTGAAAACGAAAAAAGTAGCGATGATTGATGCTGGGTGTTTTTCTTTATTATTAAGTTTAGAGGCAACTTCCTACTATTTGTTCTGGATAGCTCTGGCTGTGCCAATGAGTTCCAGCCCTTACGCACGATTCACGGTGCTCGAAACTTGAAAACTTAAAATCAACATGTTTGGCAGCTGTTCAGAACCCTGTCCTCGACTTCTTGAAGATCATAGCCTCTGGCCTGTCCATTCATCACAAAGGGCAGCAGCAGAATCTTCCCCGTGTACACGGTGCCCTGCTCTGCGGGAGTAACTTCGCAAAACTGGTCCAGAATCTCCCGGGCACAAGATGCAATCTCAGCGGCCGCGGGTCATTGAAAGGTTGGACAACACACACACACGGATTACATTGCCCAGATCTTTTAAGCTTTGTTTCATTTTTGTTCCAACAAACTTGGAATGCTTAGCCAAAATTCAAACCCATGATGCCCATCCAGCCAAGCAGCGACTTGCCAGCGGGGGGGAACGCTCTGACGCATTGGCATGACCTGCAGCAAATTCTTGGCTTCGTCCACCACCGATGGATCAGGCAACTTCATACCTCAGACGAGCACAGCTCGCGCGTTGGCTTAAGAAGCACTGGCCAATTGACCCCAGTCATGGTCTCTGAAATAGCAAAACAAATATATTTATTATATTACACTAATATCTTATTATATGTGTGCATGATCATATGCGAGTAGTATAACCATAATCAACCTAACGAAAAACAGATTCACCTTGAATCCTTTTTCTGCCCCCCTTTTTGCGTACTAGGGACTTGCAGCCACTTCATCCATAGCCGCCTTGGTCTTGGTGCCGCCAGGAAAGAAGGAGCTCAGCAGGACATTGAAGCCAGCAAAGGCCCAGGTAAAGTCCACTTCAGTGTTGTAGGTGTTCTGCATCCAGTCTGGAGCCATGGCAATGTCACAGGCGTGCCGCAGGATCTGGTCATTGCTCAGGAGGCAAATGTTGGGGCGGAATTGCCTCATGTTGCGCACCAAAGCCTCTGCAATCTCAGCACGTTGATCTCTCACCTGCTGCGTCATCACCGTGAGATCCACAGACGCTGCAGCCGCTGAAGCCGAAGAAACCGCTTCAGACTGTGCCACTTCGGAATCCACAGGAACACCAGTCACAACCACATCTCCTGGTGCCGGCCCGTCTTCATTCGCAACGTCAGCACGGTTGGCAGATTGCCTTCCTCCGCTGAAAAGACCGCGAAATGCTGCAGCCATTGAAGCGATTCAGCCAACAAAAAGCCGCAAAGCCGATGGAGACGCTGAGCCGGTGGGCTGCACTGCTGGAGGTATGTGAAAATCTCCCCAGAGGATCTTGGCAGATGAAAGATGATGCTGTCTTCCAAATTTCTTATCCCCAAAACACCAGCATGGAAACTATCAGCCACACCGGCTCACATGGGGCGAGCCTGTGCTGCAAGAGGCGCTGCCGCAAGTGCCAGAAGCAACCACCTGCCGAAACACAAGGATGCCAAGATGGGCCGGGAACCAACAGGGTAGATGAATGGGGGGATGGCTCACCATTTTAAAAAGTATATGTCCATGCCGCGAACTTCTGATTGCATTGTGATACAGGTCCGGTTAGTTCTGTCAACAGCAGCTGTAATAAGTTTTTCACCACACCAGCCAGGAATAATCAGTCCATATATTGCATATGTACCTCCCTCTAAAGATATTATATATAATATATACACAAGTTGTAAAAGACATTAATTTGTGCATTTATTGGTTATTGTAGTCATATATGATATTTTAAATAAAATAATATAATAATATATAATAGTTTTTTACAAGACACATAATATGAATGAAAATTAGCACAATCACCATCATCATCATCATCATCAGCATGGAATCATCATCATGCACTTCCTTACTATTACTTCATTATACCAAGCTCAGGGAAGCAGTCATTAACACAGAAAATTAGAACTGAGAGAATCCATCAACGGCCCTAAGCACCTCTGGAGAGCGTGCTGGCTACCTGCACAAGTGGGCTGTCGGTGGCAAAAAGGTTCGGGGACTCTAATGGATGGATCTGGCTTTGAGCGACTCTCATGAAACCATACCTAGTAGTAGATTATCTAGATGGAGGCAACTAGGGACAAAGCTGCTCACCCCCAACAGCACTTGAATGAGAGCAGCAGGCCAGAGCAACGCCGCGGAAGGAGGCGCAAGAGCCGCAAAAGCCGCAGCGCCCTTCAGAGCCGCAAGAGCCGCAAAATCAGCAGCCGCAACAGCTACAGCAGCCGCAGCAGATGCCAAAACACCTGACAGGGGACGTGGCCCGCAAGTCAACTAATGATAGTAGACTAGAAACCCTTCGACGAATGGAATCCACCCTTCCCTATCCAAAACTAAGAATTATGGCAGGGAAGGGTTGACATCTGCAACCAAAAGGTTTGTTTACCCCCCCCTTTGCACACGACGGAGGCGCGCCTCAATTTGGGAAGCTGCTCACAGGAATGCAGGGCTTAGAATGTAATTCGTGACACATTACTGCACTGCTGTGCTGTGTGTTTCTTCCTGTGTCTTGAGCTTGAAGGACGCCGGCCAAGCGAATGAGGAAGCAAGCTTTTTAATTCTCCAGCCACCCAAAACGCAAAAAAATAAAAAATGTCCAAACGGCTAACCTAGGTATAGTGAATGGGGTTTAGAAACAAACATAACTCAGGGGGGCCCACATTGATGAAAACTACAACAATTCCCTTGGACAATCTTCAAGCTTCCGCTTGGGGCATCTTGGGGCTGTGCAGACCGAACATCGCGGTCAAAAAACTCCTGCAATCAAGGGCAACAACCACCAAAACTATAGTGCTGTTGACCGGAATCAAAATGAGAATCCAAATGAATCCAGACTTAGACTGTGTACAAGTTGAATGAAGCGTAATCGTGCTATATCTCTGCCCTAAGTATGTTCGAGGAGTGAAATTAGTCTTGTCTCGCAAAAAGTGCGACATCTTCCTGCAAAACTAAGTTATGCAATCTGCAAAAACTCACCTCAAACAATGTGACGAGCAACTCTGATCACCTTTGTTGTAGTTTCGGCTGATTCCAAGAATGACAGGCACTATTTTTGTAAATACAAATAGGCACAATGAGTGTGTAGCATGGCATGTCCCTACATGGATTATTCCAGGTTTAGTTTAGACCGTGGATATGGAAGTTCACAACACCGTTGGGGCCCCATTGGCTTGTCAACAAGTCCAACCTCCCTTAGGGTTGAGTTTTGAACTTGAACAAGCACTGCAACCCGAAGGCTTCATGTCACAGCATGTCACGTCAAAGCCATGGCCTCTGCATTTGGATGAGTGTTGTAAACGATCTGCGGAAAGTCGATCAAAGTAATCTTCTCATCCTGAAGAGTAGCAATAGTTTTTCGGGTGAACGATTCCATCGATATAGCTGGAAGCTGAGTCATTGATCCCAAAGATACCAGTGACCAACGGATACCAAAGAGTCTTACCAAGGTCCCAACGAAGAGTGAACAGACCACAAATCCAATACTTAATCTCTATCATCCTTTCACTCCAAATGTGTACGTACCACAAGACTCTGTCCCTGTCAGTTTCATTGCCCCAATCTTAGCAATCTCTCATCAATCTCTCCTTTTTGATCTTTTTAGAACTGCTTGTTTTTTGCTGGCGTGGTAGCTTGGGTCCTATATGGTCCTATACACTGGGAGCCCTTCGCCAATGCCTACGCTCGGCCTACGCGCGTGCTTTTCTGCTAGAATCTGTTTCTAAGGTGCCTTCGCAGTTGCCTTCGTAAACTATACGTTACACATATCGTAGCCCATGCGAAGAACTTTAGCACAATATATAATATATATAAGGGTGCTGTGCGTTTTCCGGGCCCCAGGAATTTTGTCAAAGTACATGTCTCTATGTTCAGATGATGCTCTTGAGTGATGCAATTGCATCATTGAGCACATTTCTACATTGATCACAATCTCTAGATTCTTACATTTTATAGAGATTTGCCAGATGACAGGAGGTATTTGCCAGATTCCAAGAGGCATTTGTGTGTAAGGCTCCATGCCAATATTGCCAAAGCTAAAGAAACACACATTTCTACAATTTACAAAAAACCACCCCCCATGAATGCCCATTCTGGAGAGCGGGTAGTGAAGGGGGGGTTTTGAAAGTGCTGATTTTGCAATGTTTTGGCCTTTGAAGAGAACATGTCATTGAAATGATGAGAATGTGCAGTCACTGCTTGATGTGAAGAGAGCAATATATATATATAATTATATATAATTATATATAATTATATATATATATATGCTAGTACAATTTTGGCTCTTTTACTGATATTTGCATTGATTTTTTGATTGGTATTGTGGATGAGATCTATTGGTATTCCAAAAGGGGGCGCCAATGACACAGAGTTTGAATAGATTTTAAGGTGTCATGCATATAAAAAGATACAGTAAGTAGATCTGAAAACCTCCCAAGGTTTTCTAGAATATATGTAATTAGGTTGCCACAAATAATTTAAATGAACAATGTCTTAATACAACATATAAAGAAAAGTAGAATTGGCATTAACCTTTCAAAGAATTGAAATAAAATAGATAAGCTTACCTACTACAAACATTTCATGGAACTCTTGGATTGAAGTAGAATTAAGGTAGAAAAAATCCACGAGATCTGAGAAAAAATGACATCAAGTGGTGTGACTTTAAGGTATAAAGTCTTTTACATACAAAATTCAGTCAAAATTGCCAGGGAATCTTGTATGTTGTGCCTTATTTTTCCTGAGAATTCTGCTGGGATATTTTATCCAAAAATTCAAAGAGATCTTTCATTGTATATATATATATGTGTTTTTTGTTCACCTTCATTCATTTCATTTCTCATTTATAGAGATTACATACCCCCACAAGGGGTGCATGTAACAAATACTTGAAGTAATCTTGCATTTTGATATAAAGAAAACCCAAGCAGAAACATGCTGTACTTTGGTATTGAAACTGGCATCACTAAATCAAAGTATATTTTTTTTTGTTGCAAGATATTACATTTCCCAATTGAATCAATCCTATTGAAAAAAGGAGGCATACATGTTTCAAAAGGATTGCTGCAAGGCTTCAAGGAACAATGTAACAATCTGGATTGTAATCAAGAAACTCTTTCAAAAAAAGTTATATACATTTCCCAAAAAGGAAATGTATCTTATTTCAAACAATAATGCATTTCCGAATTGAAGCAAGCATCTTGAAAAAGGCATTTAGTTTTCAAAAAAATCCAAAAAGAACGCTGCAACACTTCAAGGAGTATTGTGTTTTGTAATAAAGAAGTTCTTTCCCAAACAAACTTCAAAAATTAATGCAGTTTCCAATTGAAGCAGCCATCGTGAAAAGGCCATATATTTTTAAAAAGGAATGCTGCAACACGTCAATGAATATATAATTTCTAATCAAGAAGTTTCTGCAAAAAATATGCATTTCTCTAAAATAATGTCCATCCTATGTCAACCAGTAGTGCATTGGCACTGTTGGCATGGAGCCTCATCTAGAAATGCCTCCTGTCATCTAGCAAATACCTCCTATTATCTGGCAAATCTATATAAAACCAAAAAAAAAGTTTCTGCAAACTAGTTCGGATATGCTTGTTTTTTTGTCTTTTGTTTGTTTTGTTTTTTTTTAATTTAATGTATTTTTATATGAAACAATATGTTTATAAACAAATGTGTGTTTATAAACATGTTGTGTTGAGGCATCAGTGGTATCAAAGCAGATTGAGACAAGAATCACAAGAAACCTAATTAATTGTGAAGCAAACACATGAGACATCACATCATGATATGCCACATACTGACATACACATGGGCTCAGTGCGTTTCCCATGTTTGTTCTAAACAATGATGATAACCAACCCTAATCATAATACCCTTGCGGCAAAAACGCACCGAACCTTGGTCGAGTTTCATGTTGTTTTCCGTAATTTGTTGGTTTATGGTCATCCCATTTTGGGCAAACAAAATGTCTATGGATTTCTGAATGAATATAACATATTTGTTTAATGCTGGATGATCCATATCCTTTATGGACTTTTATGGATTTACCATCCCGAAATTTTTGGAATGCTCACGAAAATGGAATCCGCATGTTCCTCCGAAGGATTGGTTTAATCCAATCCATCTTGATCACGGGAAAAGCAACACACTTCAGCCTATTTAAATAGTATGTATGCTGTTAATTTATTGTGGTGATCATATATGTATATACATTATGATAAATATCTATTATGATATAATACATATATAATGCATGATATATTTATATGTATTATAATATACTATATGTATGATATATGTACGATATGTGTGTGTGTGTGTGTTATATTGTACGTATGTATGCTGTATTTCATATCATAACATTAACTCAATGGAATTCCTACTAAGTTTCACCTGGCTTTGTGTGAACATAGGTACCCCTAAAAATTCCATGACATGCGATGCTTTGTCAGCTTGAACTGTGTAGAGTCAGACCCTTTTTGGGCATCCACCTTTTTTCAAATACCCTTTGGTAATTTAACAGTTTGCTATTGAAAATGACCATAAAAATAGTGGATTTACCCATTGTTTCAATGGTGATTTTCCATAGTTGTTGGTATGTTTACCAGAGAATAATCAATAATAAATGAGGTGTATCGGTGTATCCAAAAAAGATTTTCCAGAATCACAACAATAGAATTTCCCGTCAGGCCTGGGCCTGCATCAAAATCATCGAATCCCCATCCCATCCCGCCTTATCCAGCATCAGGTTGAACTCATTAAAATCACCATGGACAATGCCCGCACGAAGCAACCTGGCACCCAGCTGCTTGCCAGCTGAAAATATTCGGCCAGCTTGGCCTAACTTTTCTGGTTGGTAATGCAATAACCATCTTGAAACATCTTATGAAAGTCAATGGGAAGGAGTATCCCATATATTATGGACTATGGAAAATAAAAAATGTTCCAAACCACCAACCAGGTTTAGGCGTGGTGGATGAAGACTTGACTTTCAACAAACGCATGGACTTGGGTTAATGGAAGATCATCCTGTGATGAGCTTTATCACCTGCAGTCCGTAGACTGAACTTGTTGCAAGCAGAGGGCGCGCACCATTATCGGAACCAGACGCCCTCGTTTGAGACATAAGTTTCTGTTCGTGAATGTGGTTGGCGGACCAGGCAAGGCACTAAAATGGTCGTGAATGCCATTGTTCTGTTCAACAAGCTCTTTTTGCTTCCTGACTCTCATCGTATCCAGAAGCTTCTACGCTTATCACTTCACTTACCTTCTGACACTTGGGTGCAACGTGTGTTGCAACTTATGAAAGACAATAGATTGGACGATAGAATTCCACTCCTGCATGACTGTGAAAGTTTGCAGGTTGAACTGATAGCCTTGGCCACAACTGATACTGCCGTGAGACGTAACCGTGCTTAAAAAATACAAACGTGATGTTGTCGAGGTGACTTTTCGTGCTAGTGATGATGATGCTTTTCAAAACACTAATTTCATCTAATTTCCACCTTTTTGGCCTCCAATATTCTGCTCACTTGATGCCAACGCAAACTTATTTTTCAAGGCGGTAAATTTCAATGCTTGGAGATTTGCACGTATATGGTAGACCATTCGATTAACTGGGCTCTGGCCATTTTCTCTTTCTCCACGCAGAAATGTTGTTCTACTCTTGATAAGTGCTGCAATGCTCCAGACATCCCTGTTTCGCACAGATGGAATTCCACATTGAGAATGGTGACGCTCGGATCAAAGAACTTGTTTCGCATGGAAATTGCGAAAGGTCACTGTAGCGTGTCTCATGGGTAGGAATGACGGTAGGCGCAGAATTGGCGCGAACTTTTTGGCATGGCAATGTGGACGGATCGAAACCTGGGTGATGATGGTGATGAACCGCTGTTGAAAAGATGGTGGGACCAGGGTGTGCCTGTGGCTTATCACTTGAATTACCATCTGGTTATGACTAACATAGCCATGGAACATCCCGTAAATAAATGGAGGTTTCTAGCTGGGAAAATCATCTATTTCTATGGGCCATTGTCCATGGCTATGTTAGTCATAACCAGAGGGTATATCCCATTAGATCCCATAAAATCCCATTAAATCCCATTAAACCACCATTTTCCTATGGTTTTCCTATGGTTTTCCTATGGTTTAAAATCATGTTGCAACAACCTGCAAGGCTCTCCCTTGGGATATCGCGCCCATGATGCGCCCACTGTGTTATCTGCTATGGCACTGGGGCACCAGAACGCTTAAACATCATGGACACTATGGTTCAAAGAGTTACCCTGGGATATCAAGGCTTCCTTGAGGGCCAAGTGCAAGCCGCAAACATTGCATTCTGGCTGCAATTCAGTTCTGCTGCCATCTGGGAGTTGGATTTGCCGTTGTTTTTACAGCCGAGCGTATATACTACCATGACCTCTTTGCATGCTTGTTCCAGGATTACATTCTTCTGAGCGATGGGATGACGTTTTGCAGGCTCCGCGAAACTAGTAGCAACTAGCCTTAAAAAAAATGCAAGATGTTCATGTCAGATTTAAATGTTGCTGCATGCCAGTCAGAAGTTACAAAAGAAAGCATGTGCAAAGACATTTTGATGAGTGCCTGTCTTCCTGTAAGTGAATGAAGGCAGTCCCAAGGCACTTAACACATCTTAACACATATATGAGTCTTGAATACTAATCCAACTTAACACAAACCTAACCGTCAATGTAGCATCCGTGGCCTGTGCACCCCACCCCCAGCCAGGCCTTACAACCAAGCGCATCAGTCGTTCTAAAGCCTGGCCGAGATACCGACCACGGTAACCGTGCGGATCACAATTTCTGCGGTATGTGATCCGCGACATCTTCATGCGAACGTTTAGGTTGAGTCATGTTGAGTCATGTTAAGTCATGTTAAGTCATGTTGAGTCATGAGTCTCACTTGATGTGGGCCAAACTTTGCCAGTGGAAAACCAGAAACAAGACTCTTGCAGCTGACACCTGATGTGGATGCTGAAGGCTTCGAATCTGAAATAATGGCGTGGCATGAACCTCGGAATGGCTTCGTTTTTGCCAAAAAATCATCCCAGAACGGGACCTGGTCCAGTACCCAAAAAAACTAGTCTTCAGGTGGCCTCTACTTCCACTTTTTGCTTGGGATCTTCGGATTTCTCCATTCTCTACTCGTCATTTGCAAAACAAGTTGCGCTTGCAAAAATGCCTCAAGGAGATTGTTCAACAAACCGACTCTGCTGTGGGATTCGCAACGCTCTGAGCATCCTTGCGAAGGACATCACAACCACGTGCCGGTTCTGATCGATTGGGCTTGGTACAGGAAATCCTTCATCCTGCGTTGGTGAACGTTGAGTCCCCTGAATCATGAATGAATATCACCAATATATACATCTATAATATATATATATATATAATATACGGAGCCTCGGGCATACAAAGATAAACAATGATAAACACTAATATTGATCCTCTGGGGTGAAACAATCACAAAATCCATGTGGATCAACCCCAAGAGGACGCCGTGACGCCGTTGGGAGCCAAGATCGCCCAGGTCCGCCTTTAAAGCCTTCATATAGGCGAACTCTTTGGCTGCCGCGAGTTTGGCCATATACATCCAACTTGCATGGACCCGATGCCTGTGAGTCTGAGAGATTTGTCATGGGATATTGATATGATTCCAGAGGGGACTACTATTCTTAATCAAAACATTTGGCAGTGTGTCAAAGCCAATAGTACCCCTTCTGTTCACATCAAAATATAGTTGGGATTTATGGATGTTCATCCCATTAAAAATGGTATTTTCATAGCTATTGATCCAGACCCATCTGTTAAAATCATGGAACCATATCAGAAACCTGCTGAGAACAACAAATTTCAGCAAGGCGCAATGGATAGAGATGGGCCCTTGATATGAAGTGAAACTAAGGGATAGCCGGGATATCTGCATTATGTGCATGAAATTCCATACATATGAGTAATATAAAAAAGTAAAAAAAGGTATATGATCGGTACTTAGATGGGCCATAGGATTAGCGATTCCTGATTAGTAACTGGGGTTATAATCCCAATGAAATAATCCATTACTAACTAACTATATCATGGGGTTATTCATTAGTAAATGGATTATTTCATGGGGTGTGTTAGCTATATCCCCTATATCCCAATGAAATAATCCAGTTACTAACTAGCTAACAAACTCCATGGCCCATCCAGCCCATTTCATGGGAACCACCAGGTCCAGCAACCAGGTTCCGGCAGTTGCTAAGGACTAGCGGGATCTGTGCGATTTTCCGCGATAACATACCCCAAAGATGCATGGATTATATGAATTCTACTGAACATAATATGTGCATATACATGTATGTATGTATGTATGCATGCATGCATGCATGCATGCATGCATGGATGGATGTATGTATGTATGTATGTATGTATGTATGTATTTATGTATATGTATATGTATATATATATATATATGATGTTAGAAATATGCTAGGTCAACAATAGACAATGGCTAACCTTCAACCATGACCGTCTCCGCCTCAAGTAGTCACGTTTCTCCTTGATGGCGCGGAAACTGATTCGACCTGGTGAACTCGAGACACATTGGGTCACTGAAAAATGTCACAGGATCCAGGTACATTGGAATTTTATAAGTACTATTATATATATATATATGTGATATATATATATAAGTGATATATTTATATTGTATATATATATACTGTGTATAATATATATATATATATATAGTGACTTGCAATTATGTTGGATGTAGACTTGGTAAACCCTAAGATGCATATTGATGCAGAACATTGCTTGTTTGACAACCCCCGAAATTCCAGGTTTGGAAAAGTGAGGTTTGGAAAACGGAGCATGAGTTGTGGAAAGCATGTCTTGGGCTCCATTTCATGGATTAATTCAAATAATAATTACAATATATAATAACAGATAGTAACAGTCTAATAGTCATAGTGAATAGTAATAACAGTAATTAATAATAACATAACAACAATACCCAAACATAAATCAGCAATCGGATTCCGTTCAAAAGATCAGGAAATCCAGGGAACATTCTATGGAAATTAGATCCATAACAAGACCTTTTGGAAATCGAACAAGTCAGGTCCAGACTAATCAATCTCGCACTAGTTTTTTCTTAACAAAAAGTGCTTTAAAAAAAAAGTCACCAAAATTCAAAATATGAAAGGTGCTGTCAGTGCTGTCCACAAATAGACACATGGACACTTGGATCATGAAAAAAAAACACGGAGCTTTCCAATGTTTAGAGATCTGTCAATCCTGGGCATTTTTTAAACCCAGTCACTTCTGATACAAGGCCGAGCTCTCGTGGGAAATATGTCCGAGGCAAAAGGACAAATCCAGACCCAAAAAGGCCGAGAGGGTAACAAAAATCCGTGGTAAAATATGGCGAATCCATAGAAAACAATGATCTTTAATACATCTTTAAAACCCATAGGATCCATGTATGCTATATATGGTCCTATGGGTGATCTTTAATACAAAAAAATCTACAGGACTTTGCAAATCCTTGGCGACCGCCACGATCTGGTGCCGCCTAGTCGATGCAACTTTAGGGCAACCACTTCGCCATCCGGTCCCTGCGCCAGATGACATATGATGACATGGTCGCAGCCAGGATTCAACATGGTTACCCTCCGCTAAACGTTTACAGTTTGCTATTGAAAATGGTTATTTATAGTGGATTTACCCATCAAAAATGGTGATTTTCAATAGCTATGTTAGTTTACCAGAGGGTACCCAGATTAACTCATGTTGTCGAAAACATGTAGTCATGTGTTCATCATTGTTTCATCATTCATCCTAAAATGTGGCTGACATTCAAAAGATTCGATTTTCTCGAAGGCCAAAACGCCGATTCAGGAGCTGTTCCTTTGCGATTACAGAAACATTTATCATTCAGAGGGTAATGGTAACTGCAGGTACCCTCTGGTAATTTGACATAGCTATTGAAAATACACCATTCATAGTTGATTTACCTATTCAAAATGGTGATTTTCTATAGTTTTTTGTATGTTTACCAGAGGGTAACTGGCAACCATCAACTGGCGAGTCACGGCTAGTCTGAGCCGCCTGGGCATAGTGCACATCGCTCTCCTTTCCCACCTGGTGCATGGCGGCGGCAGCAATGTGGCACAGGTAGTGGCGTTGATAAATGCCAATGTACATATATATATATATATTCCATATTATGTATATACACGTATATATATATATTACATATATATATATATATTACATATAAATATATATTACATATATATATATACGTATATTATATATTCTTATGTGTGTGAGAAATATATGCTATAAAATGCGAAATACCAGGAAACATATGCTACAACATGTTTATGGCTGCTTTTCCTGAGTGGATATTTGACAATATTTGACATGCAAATTGAGAACTGGTTGAATGCTGGGAAAGTGATTCTACAGAACTTTGCAACCTGGAACAGGGGGAGAACACATGTACTCTTAACGACCTGAGAATGCCAAAAAGGTTGACTTGGAAAAGCAAATGCTGACACGGGATTCTCAGGCTGCACTACTTCACACAAAAAATTGAGATAACATGATAACAGGTTTCTTTGATAGGAGGGAATCTTCAAATACCAAATCATGTTATTTTATACGAAACTGTAGGACCTGTATCTTTGGCATGAAAGCTCATGGAAGGCTCATGAGAACTCATCAAAACTGGGTAAGTTGGCACCTGCCTCTCCCCATTGTGTTCGCTAATATCGAAAGTTAGTCTAAGACATGATCCTTTCCAATCGAAAAAATTGTCCGAAGATTATCCAGTGAATGGATTGATGTGATACGACTTGGCTACCATTATTCATTAATCATATCTTGACCAAACACTTACCCTCTGGTATATTGACATAGACCCTGGCAGATAGGAATTGTAAGATTAGTTTCCTCTAACAATTGGTGATTTTCAGGGTCTATGTTTATTTACCAGAGGGTATATGTTGTTCCTTGCCGCACTTGTGTTCATCAATTGGCAATTAGATATCTAATTGCCAACGATTCTGATAAACATGATGATAACGTTATACATGGGTTGCTAAAATAGGGCCCAAACAAATCTTGCACGCTAATTATTCGTCAAATCTATACTGACTACAATGTGGAAACCCATGCTTCGGGTTATCCTTTTTCTAGCAAACACCCCTATGTATATATATATATACATAGATACACATCATAATATACATACATATATATATATATAACATACAGATTTGATCTGGATGAATTAGAATAATTCACCAACTTGAAGAACTCCAGCACTTTGGGACATTTCTCCTAATCCTAAACTCCCAAACATGACATTTATGAACCAAGTGATGTCCTTATAATTTGCTCTCCAGGTATGCAGAACACACAAATTGTAGATCATGTTCTTTGCGAAACAGATCCTTTCCCATATCTATGTTGGTTGACCCAGTGTACCCAGTTTAATTATCTGTGTTTTTCCCCAACACACAAAGTACGCAAAAATCCTTTGGCTGTGCATCATCTTCCTCATTAAGCTGAGCTGGGGGAACTCCCCCGTTTCTGGGTGGCAAACCCATTCACCATATTATTGGTTGTAAATCCTATTTTACCAAATTCTATATATATATATATCAATATATATATATATATGTATATATATATATATATATTAATACATGTATATATATATATATATTAATACTGTATATATATATATATTAATACATGTGTATATATATAGTAATAAATAAATATATATATACAGTAATAAGTATAATTATATATATATATATATATATCAATATATATATATAAATATAAATATATTGATCTATCAGTCTATCCCCATCATATTCCCATTTTCGATGATAGACTTTCCAACCAATCCATTTTTTATCACCATCCCCAGCTGTCGTATCTCAGTTCCCCACTCCCAAGCGACGACCCACAGCCGTGATGGTGCCACGCGCTGCTAGGGCCTAGGCCACCACTTGGGCGCACGGGGAATCCTGGACGTTGCTTAAAAATGCTCTGCTATAACATGTGGACATGTGTATATATTTTATAATATTATACAATATATATATAATCATATATATATACATATACATGTGATATACTTGATATATGTTAACATATGTACATACGGGTCAATAACTTTGGTGCCCTTCTGTTCACAACTAGCAGCAGTCGCAGCTGGGGATGTCCATCCCCAGCTGTGAACAACTGAAAGTTCCAGGATGTTGCGCTACCCTCTGGTTATGGTGATTTAATGGTGATTTAATGGTGGTTTAATGGGATTTAACGGGATTTAATGGGATTTTATGGGATCTAATGGGATATACCCTCTGGTTATGACTAACAGTTCGCCATGGTTAAGCCATGGCCCATAGAAATAGATGGTTTACCTATGAAAATAGCTTGGTGAATCTTTTAACCATGGCAAACTGTGAATGTCATAACCAGATGGTAAATGCATGTGACAATGTCTAGTAATCGTCACGGAGAAACCTCAGCATGCAAAAGTACCTGGTTGGTGGTTGAGCCACCCCTCTGAAAAATATGAAA